ACCCAGCCACACCCACATCCACCCTCACCCATCACCACCACACCCAGCCACACCCACCCCACCCATCACCACCACACCCAGCCACACACACATCCACCCATCACCACCACACCCAGCCACACCCACATCCCCACCCATCACCACCACACCCAGCCACACCCACATCCACCACACCCCATCACCACCACACCCAGCCACACCCACATCCACCCTCACCCACCACCACACCCAGCCACACCCACCCCACCCATCACCACCACACCCAGCCACACCCACTCACCCATCACCACCACACCAGCCACACCCACATCCACCTCACCCATCACCACACCACACCCAGCCACACCCACATCCACCCCACCCATCACCACACACACCCAGCCACACCCACATCCACCCATCACCACCACACCCAGCCACACCCCTCACCCACCTCACCCATCACCACCACACCCAGCCACACCCACATCCACCCATCACCACCACACCAGCCACACCCCACCCACCCTCACACCCATCACCACCACACCCAGCCACACCCATCTCACCCATCACCACCACACCCACACACACACATCCACCCATCACCACCCACACCCAGCCCACACCCCACATCCCCACCCATCACCACCACACCCAGCCACACCCACATCCACCTCACCCATCACCACCACACCAGCCACACCCACATCCACCCTCACCCATCACCACCACACCCAGCCACACCCACATCCACCATCACCACCACACCCAGCCACACCCACATCCCCACCCATCACCACCACACCCAGCCACACCCACACCCACCCTCACCCATCACCACCACACCCAGCCACACCCACATCCACCCTCACCCATCACCACCCACACCCAGCCACACCCACGCTCAGTAGTAAGAAGGAGATAAGAGAGAAACAGACATATCCTAGGGCACACACACACACACACACACACACACACACACACACACACACACACACACACACACACACACACACACATATAGGTATGTAGATAGATTAGAGAGAGAACACTCAGGGAGGGATAGAGAGGACACCTCCCACCCTCCCTCCTCCTCCTTCCTTCCTTCCCTCCCTTCCTTCCCTTCCTTCCCTCCCTCCCTCCTCCCTCCCTCCCTCCTCCCCTTCCTCCCCCTTTCTTCCCTCCCTCCTCCTTCCCTCCCTTCCTTCCTTCTCCCTCCTCCCTCCTCCCTCCCTCCCTCCCTCCCTCCCTCCCTCTCCCTCCCTCTCCTCTCCTCCCTGCCTCCTTCCTTCCCTTCCCCTTCCTTCCTTCCTTCCTTCCTTCCTTCCTTCCTTTCCTTCCCTCCCTCCCTCCCTCCCTCCCTCCCCTCTCCCTCCCTCCCTCTGCCTCCTCCTTCCCTTCCTTCCTCCCTTTCCCTTCCTTCCTTCCTTTCTTCCTTCCTTCCCTCCCTCCCTCCCTCCCTTCCTTCCTTCCTTCCTTCCTTCCTTCCTTCCTTCCTTCCTTCCTTCCTTCCTTCCTCCTCCCTCCTTCCCTTTTCATTCATCCTACATCCTCATTATGCTTTTTCATTCAACCACACACACACACACACACACTAAGATTCTTTCTCCCTCTGTCCATCCTCATTCTCCCTACCCTCCTTCATCCGCTCTCTCTCCCTCACCCACCCTCTCTCCCTCATCCTCCCTCTCTCTCCCTCATCCTCCTTTAGCCTTCCTCATCCCTCCCTCACCTCACCCCTTTCCTCATCTCTCACCTTCCCACCCTCTCTCCCCCTCTCCCTCCCCCTCTCTCCCCTCACCCTCTCTCCTCACCCTCTCCCTCACCCCCTCTCCCTCACCCCCTCTCCCTCACCCCCTCTCCCTCACCCTCTCCCTCTCTCCCTCAGCTACACCCGTTATTGAAGGACCGGATGTGAGGTATATCATAGTGACCCAACAGCACCTCAGCCTCTTGCCTCCTGCTGTCTCCTCCTGCTGTCTCCTCCTGCTGCCTCCTCCTGCTCCTCCTGCTGTCTCCTGTTATCTCCTCCTATTGTCTCCTCCTGTTGTCTTTTCCTGTTGTCTCCTTCTGCTGTCTACTCATGTTGTATCCTCCTGCTGCCTCCTCCTCCTGCTGCCTCCTCTCCTGCCTCCTCCTCCTGCTTCCTCCTCCCTACTGCCTGTTCATGCCTTTTTCCTCCTCCCTCCTCCTATCCTTCTATCGACTCCCTCATTCATTACTCACACACACACACACACACACACACACACACACACACACACACACACACACACACACACACACACACACACACACACGAGACAACATGTTATCTGATACGGTGTCCGGATGTGTGTTAAAACTTTTCCCCGTACCAAGAGATAAGATATGTCAGGTGTCTGTACTCCTAGAACCCTGATATGTACTCCTAGAACCCTGGTATGTACTCTTAGAACCCTGGTATGTACTCCTAGAACCCTGGTATGTACTCCTGGGTCCTGTCTGGTCGCTGTCGTGTTGTAGCTTCAGTGAGTCAAGTCAGATGTAGATATTCTCAGGAGTATCGTAGCTCTTAGTCAGTCAGTCAGTCAGTTTTAAGGGCAGGCCTGGCGCCCTCTTTTGTGTGATATCGTAAGCCAGTCAGCCAGCTTTATATACAGTCTTTTAAGTGCATTAACACTTCTTTTATGTGGTATCGAAAGCCACTTAATTAGTTGTGTTGGATCTCAGTGCAGTTTTAACACCGCCTATAAACTGTGAAGGAAGTGAACCAGTCTCTCTTGATATTTTATTTGGCTGACGTGAGATGATTTTCAACTGGGAAGGGAGCCCGTACGTAAGGGGTTAATAATTATAATTTCCCTAAAGTCATCACCATCTTCATCATCACCACCACCATCATCATCATCATCTAAGTCACATTGATATTGAAAGTTTAGTTAGCAAAAAAAATACACAGTGGACAATAACAACAACATTGACTTGGAGTAAATCAAAATACACTACAGTCGAGGCTTAAGTGAACATAATGAGGCTACGGGGCTGGTGACCACAAAGTTTATTAATGGAATATCATTACATGTAAGAGGTTTACTGTAGGTAGAAAGTACAGCTACAGATGATTAACCAACTTGACCTAACCCACCTTATTTTACTTGATGAATAAACACCCTAACTTAACCTAACCTAACACCGCCTAGGTAGTGTCGGAGTGTTTAATCATCAGGTGAAATAAACTGTAGTTAATCTTCAGGTGACCCTAAGATGATAACTACATTATAAACAACTTAGAATCAGTTTATATTATTGCCAGTTATAATCCAGTAAGGTAAAGCTACTTGATAATTCCACTCACATTGTTATTGCTGTGTGTGTAGGCTAGATGGCAGGACTCAGGTCGCTTAAACGAAATGTGAGATGTTTCGTTACCTTCTACACTGTATGACGGCGAGAGTACCAGTGATCGTTAACTATTTACTTAAAAGATATTAATTTGTGTTGTGTTGCGGCCAGTTCCTGCTGTTACCTTCACTACACATCTATCTCTCTCTGGACGGCCCCCCCCCCTCCCCACCCTCACCTTTACTCTTCAACGTACCCCTACCACACAACCCACCAATCTTCCCCCTCTGGTTCCCCCCTACGCCAGTACTCCTTGTTTCCTGTGCATTTATAAAAGGTATCAACGTTGTAAACACGGGAAGCGAAAGTGTGAGTGTGTTTATATAACCATTGCCACTGTTACTTCAGAATGGTCGTACTTCTCAGAACCCTGATGTTTATTTATCTGTTGAAGTTGAATATATATAATATATATATATATAATATATATATATATATATATATATATATATATATATATATATACTGAAAATCACTGTAGGTGCGCGTGATCTGGTATATGCTGATAACACAAGGAAAGAAAGAAAACACGAAAGCGGAACTTCGTGTTTTCTTCAGCATATATATATATATATATATATATATATATATATATATACTGTATATATATATATATATATATATACTATATATATATATAAATATATATATATATATATATATATATATATATATATATATATTTATTTATTTATTTATTTACAGCGTACAATGAGATCCTTCACGGTGAACTGTACATGAAAACGGATGCGGGTTAGCCTCTTGAAAGAGAAGGGGCGGAGTCACAACCCCCCCCCCTCCTCCCCCATCCCTTCATATAGCCCTCCTCCCCTCCCTCCACCTCGTCTTCTACCATGAACTACGCGATTCATTCATGCCAAAATTCCATTGGCCAATAGGAGAGGGGGTAGAGTGAGCCAACCTGTGTGTGCTTGACGAACAAACACGACCTGCACAGTGACACGTACTAAGTCTCAAGTTTCTGTCTTACACACTACGCTCTTAGACTGTATGACTGGTCTTAAGGTGCCTCAAGTAAAGGGAATCTGGCAACTGTGAGTCTCAGCTCGGGGTAAACACAGTCCAGATATCCATTCACACGTTTGTTGAGTGAGGAGAGAGAGTGTGTGTGTGTGTGTGTGTGTGTGTAGGGCGAGAGGTGTAGTGGTGAGCAACGGATGGAAGCAAGTGCGCGCGCGTTTTGCTTCACTGATTCCACTACACTACACCAATGTGTTCACATTTACGCACAGAGTGTATTACTCCTGTGTCTGTTAACTTGAGAGAAGTAATTGTGTATCTAGAACAGCAGTGAATGTATGAGAGACACTCTTGATAAATGTACAAGGTTACTTGGCCTCTGAAAAACAAATACCATACCAAAGATACGTCGTTACATCTCGGCGCGTTTTATAGATGACTTTTAAACTTATTGTATCGACTAAACGAATATTAATAAAAGAATATAAAGGAAACGTAACAAGTGTACCGAGTGGTCGAGAAACACACTGGTCTATATAATATAACCGAAGAAATGTAACACAAGTGAATGTTGAGAGACATTTGTGGTGTTGTAGTGTGTGTGTCCCTCTTGGCGGCAGTAGTGAGGACTCAACTGCGCCCACCACCCGCCTGCCACCCACTTCCGCCCACGGGTATCCGGGTATTTCCGTTCCCAGTTAAGCACTTCCGGTCTTGTGTTAAGCCCCCGGAGTTGCTGCCTTTGTGCTTGGTGGTTTTTGTTTCCCCGGTGAGGTGGTTGGTTTAGTGAGGGTCAGTTTAGTGGTGTGGACTGAGGTGCTCTTAGGCATCTATCTCCACTCTCCCACCACCAACACATCTGTCCCCAGTCTGTGAGTGTCTTAAACCTGTGATCTCATTCATCACTGTGGTGAGCACTGTAAGGTGGACGCCTCACCCACCAGACCATGAGTCAGGACCTGGGTTGTGGAGGCAGAATGGTTCGCTGGTTCAGGCTCTCCTCCAGTGGCAGGTTGGTTGTGTGGACGTGTGTAAATATGTTATGTGGTGTGTGTGCTATCGCCCCCTCCCAGTACAACTTCAAGGAGTATAGTAGTGTGAATGATTTTACCAAGAAGAACCTGTTTAACACGGTAGGTACGTAAACTTTCCCTTGACTATCCCCATCACTAGCACCACATAAGACAAGGTAATAAATAAAATGCTGTGACTGTTAAGACTCAGGTATGTTATAGTGTCTGTCAAAAGTGTCATACTTAAGAAATGGAACTTAAATTCGTGTAATATGATGTCAAGCTCAATGTGGGAAACGTGTACTATTTTTTTTTAGCTTCTGTACAACATTATGCGACACATTACAAATTTACCATGTACTGTATCTAGTCTGTACGTAGATTGATTTAATTTTAATTTTTGAGGTGTAAAATAATGGGATGAATAATTTTTTCTTTTTTATTATTGTAGGAATTTTTGGGAAGGAAAGACATGTACATACATACATTTTGTTTAGAGGGGGGGGAGGGCTTATGAAGTCAGGCTTTGAGGCGACTACTAACATGTAGCTTTATGTTTCAGCGGCAACTATTTGGTTCGAGTGCGTGCTCAGGTGATGATGCGTGATGACAGCACTGGGGGTTGGCTGCCCTTGGGTGGGGGTGGCCTCTCCAACGTGTCTGTCAGGAAGCGTGTCACTCAACCCGACCTTGACGACCCTACTAAACACGAGTATCTCATCTACGGCAAGAGAATATCAGATCAACACGTTAGTACACTGCTTTCTGTCCCACTGTATGGTGGTGTGTCTCACTGCCCCTTGTCTCACATTAGCATGGTGGTAGCAACACTCTTTAAATAAATATATGAATGTCAGTAGGAAACATTTCTACATTAGATTTTTAAATTCTGACAGGAGCCGCACCCAAAATAAACATTAGACTACTTGTAGGAACATTTTGTTGCTAAGAAGAAACTATTATATATTTGTGGAAATGTTTTCTAAATTAAACATATGACAGTTAGTAGGCACAGTAAATTATTTAAACATTGTTCATGCTAATAGGAACTCACTATTTAAGAGGAATACTTGTAAGAACCCTTCTATAAACTTAACATTGGAATGCCTATAAGAATACTCTTGGTTGATTACAGTATATTACTAAAATGTTTGTAGTCATAATTATTAGGCATATGAATATTAGATTGATGTGCCTTTACGTTCTTTGCAGCCTCACTCTCCAAACATCAGGATGGTTGGATCAATAATCCATGTGATTAGAGATAAAAATACTATTAGAAATACAGAGTTTTCAAGATTAAACCATGGAATACCAACAGACATAATGCTGTATATACTTGTAAAACATAGAAGTATTCGCAGGAGCATTTTTGTAGATAAAGTGTAATTATTGTGACAAACATTTCTTAACATTAAGTTTTAGAATACTGGCAGAGGCTGTTCTTAGTTCAACTTTTCCTGATAATAGATACTGTACTGTACTCCTAATTTTCTTCAGTACCTAATGGTATGCATTACTTATTGTGTTGTGTTATTACTGTATACTTAAGAACACTTCTCAAAATTAAATACTGTATAAGAATATTAACATAAACATTCCCTAGGTTAAATATAAGAATACTAACATAAACAATCCCTAGGATGAATATAAGAATACTAACATACATTCCCTAGGTTAAATATAAGAATACATGAACATTATGTATAGGCCTTGGTTATTACTGTGGTGTTATCTAAGCAGCTTTATTTGGAGTTTGCTAATCTTTAAAACGAAATATTAAAATATATTATTTAGTCATTATCTTTTACATGCTGTGTTTTATTAGGGAATTATGAAGCCAAAATTTGAACATTGAATAATGAGATTGTATTGTTCAGAGTGTAGCTGTGTGTAAACTCACTCAAAAAAGTACAGCATCTTTATGATTTTATGAGACAATATGACAATGGACGAAGGGTTTTGAGAATCCAACCGAGACAACAGGAGTCGCGGTGTTCATTTTGAAATTCATCGGAGCCCTCGGTAAAGATACTTCTTGGAGTGAGTTTACAATATTTTCTGTATACACGCTTACACTTTTGACTTGAGATTTATATTTTGTGAAAAGTTTTAACGTGTTTTCTTATGATTGCAGGTAGTGTTGAGTTGTACAATAAAAAAGGATTTTGAGTACAACAAAGTAATGCCCACCTTTCACCACTGGAAGACAGGAGACAAAAAATTTGGACTAACCTTTCAGACAGCCGCCGATGCCAGAGCATTTGACAAGGGCGTACGCATGGCGGTAGAGGATCTTTTAGATGGTCAGTAACTATGTCCATGTCTTGGAATTAGAATTTTGAATATCTCATCCTTAAATGTTACATCTAGCTACCCACTTCATTCCCCCACACTAAAACATTACACTCTACTATTCCGAGTTTTTAGACTAGTATTAACTAGTGTGCTAATTGCTTATGGTGGCAGGTTGTGCAGGTTAGGTATGAATGCTAAGGTGACTCTTCCTCTTGGTTTTGAACTCATCTGGTATGTTTTTTTTTTTTTTGTTTTTGTTTTTTTTTTTACGGGGATTAGCCCACCTGGACACAGGTCACTGACCCACATCGGGGCCTGGGGGGCGAAAATGTAATAATAAAAATAATAATAAATAATAGGCATAATCATTCATAATAAATAAAATTTATGATAAAACAAACAAAAGTAAAATAATAAAATAATGATGATAATAATACAGTAACTGTAATAATAATAATTTTAATAATAAAGAACTATAAATACAAAATTGAAAAAAAAGATCAAAAGTGAGAAACGATATATGTATGTTGTGTTGTCAATGGTAAGAGAAAAAATTGAGACCCTGCAATTGTGTGTAAATGAAGCAGAAAGTCAGATCAGCAACCTGGGACTTGGTCACAATTTTCGTGATGCCATATGGCAGCAGGGTCTACCATTAGACAACACATTATGCTCTATCTCAGTGCATTTTGCCTTTAGTAATTTAAAGTTTATTTACATTGGTGTGTTATATTTTACCTACATGAAAAGATTTACGTGTGATTAACAATATAAACTCTTAACAGCATTATCTTGGCTCCAATCTTATATATACGGTAATGATAGGTAATAGTCTAGTTGATATTTGTCTGGAAGGAAATCACTGGTTTTTGGAAGTAAAAATTTAACTCCCAAAAGATGTTTTCCCTCTCTCTATGGTACCAGGATTTTTAACATGAACTAGAGGGTCAGTGTAAAACCCCACATTATCACTCACATGCTGTGTTTTATGATCTGTCCCCCTTTAGTGATTTCCTGTACTTTAGTTTCACTTTTCTTTCTTACTTGTTATTTTATTTGGCTTATGATTCTTTACTCTTCTTTTATTCTTTTCATGATACAGTATATTATCATTTCTTTGCCTTCATTACTCCCTTCAAATGTACTTTTTATCATTTTTTCCTACTTCCCTGCTGTTTCTTTTTCATTGACCATGCTGAGGTAATCTTCATTTTTCTCACATAGGTCACACACTTAATGTAGGTAGTTGGCAACTGCTTCACATATGTGATGGCCAGACCAACATGCCAAATTCTTCAGCAAATATTTTGAGCATTACTGTTGGGCTACCCACCAATACTTGCTTTACTCACTACAGTAGCTAACTTATGAAGTGTTTTTAGAGCTTTATTAAAAGTAAGAGAACTCATAATCAAACCTCCATATAACAGACTACAGCACTGTATATGGAGAAGAAAGCCCTGTATATCTCTAGGGTCTGTTAGATGGTAAACCTCCATTTAACAAACTTTAGAGATGAAAGTCCATTATATGAAGGGTCTGTTAGATGTGAAACCCCTGTTTCATAGATTATATGGAGATTATGTTGGGATTTGATCCTAATATTATATTTTATGATTGTGCCTGGGGTGGGAAATTCATGATGTTATACTGTATCCATTATGTCTGTAGGTTGAAAATTATGAAAACTAATGCACAAGGAATGATCTTCCCTGTCTTGTTGTTCAGGTACAAGGGAGGTTATCTCAATCATTCCTTCCTTTAGTCTTTTTCTCAAAAATATTTTTATCTAATCACTCAACACTAGATGATTTGTCTTGAAAAGCTGATCTGCTGAAGCATTTGATTGGGGGGTTGGAAATTTTTTCGACCTAATTACAGGACACCCTCTACTGCCAGTCAATGCTCCTTGTTTCCTCTCTCATCCTATTGTAATCACCATTATAATATTTGAACCATGACCTGCTTTCATTACATGCCAAAAAACATTAAATCTTAAGAACATTGTATTATTAGTACCAGCGGGCTAAATGTTTCAAGTTAGCCACTGTACCCGCCTCGTTGGTTCTGACAAGATCCGGTGGTTTTGGTGTGTGGGTCAGGTGTTTAACATAGTGTAATAGAAATTGTCCCCTTGAGTCGCTACAAAAACAAAAAATTACAAGGTTATGAAGGTTTTTAGGTGTACTGTACAGTCATTCCTCAAGTCAGTGTGGCCATATTAAGTCACCTACACATAAAGGACTTCTCTTTCCATACAATCCATAAGATGGGGGTTTCTCATCTAACAGACCTTTGATATTACAGATCCTCGATATAACAGATTTTACTCTCAATATAGTCCATTAAATAGAGGTTTTACTGTATTAACAAGAGGTAGGTAGGGTTTAGTGTTGTTACATTGTGTCTTAAGTATTTCCTTTCCCATGGTTCAAGTAAACAATAATTCAGTTGATCTGTGAGTGTCTCTTCACATCAGTATTGCATCACCACCTTCCACTACCAGCCGACCCACTTTATTTTTTACCTCCACTTCCACTTCACCTATACCAACAAAGAAGAGGGGTAAATATATTAAACAAGCAGAGGAGGCAAAGAAAAAAGAACGTGAGGAACATATAATTTGTAGTCATCAGTAATATGTGGAAAGTAACATGTATTGCTCTCTAGAAAAGTCATAATATAATGTACAGTATCTCAATCATTAGAGAATTGGTTGTGTGAAGGGGTGCCTCATACACTTCTCACATGGCAGTGTTTTCATAGGTGACTGACTGTAACTGGGCCGGTTAAAACTAGGAATTTTCAGCTCTCTTTCCATACTTATGTTTAGTCCCATGAGTGTAAGTCCAGCTCATTATTTGGAATGACATTTACTAATAGTCTTATTTTATTTTGTAAAAGGCTTAAGGTATTTTATTTATTTATTTATTTTTTCATTATATTAATCACCATCATGTATGTACTGTACTGTATATAGTTTGGGTAATATCCTCTTTGGGTCACTTTTTCGTGTGTAACATATACAGGCATCCCCCGTGTTACGGAAGGGTTCCGTTCCTGGAAAATTGACCGTATCGCGAAATTTCGTAACGCGAAACCTATTTTCCCATTGACTTCCATTATAAAACTGGAGATGCGTTCCTACGGAATTTTTTTAGGCCCCAAGAACGTAATTCAAGCACTTTTATGAATGAAAATAAACATTTATAAACACATACAATACAGTACATTAAATAATTCATGATATACATGTAATATGAAGAGAAATACAGTTGGAATAAATAAAAATATTGTACTGTACTTACCACAAAAGATGTTGACTGCTGCGTGAGGATTGGTGGTGCGAAGGAAGTTATTGGGAGGGAGAGGGAGGGGCACTACTCTCTTTTGCCCTGCCCTGTAAATCATCATCTGCTTCATCATCTGCTTTCACCTTTTTTCTGAATAACTCATCCAAAGTTGTTTGACGTTTACGGCACACCTTCTCCTTGTACAGCTCAGTGTAGGAACTGAGAGCATTGTTAACTGCTCTTGCAATCTTGATGTTCCTTTCACGGTTGGGGTCGTTATCAGCAAAGATTTGCAGACCTTCCTCTATTAGTGCAAACGCTTTAGACATATCCTTTGTTGTCAACTGAAGTGGGGTGGGTGGAGATTCTATATCCTCTTCTTGTCCTGCAACTTGCTCTTGTTCCAGCATCATCAGATCTTCACTAGTCAAATCTTCTCTATGGGAATCTAGCAACTCAACCACATCATTTTCCACGACTTCTTCAAAGCCTACATTATTTGCAAGTGTCACAATGTCTTGTTGAACTTTCTGTAGACTTTCAGCTTGTGAAAAACCTTGAAATTCATGGACACACTCTGGCCATATGTTTTTCCATGAACCATTCATAGCTGAGGTTTTCACTTCATCCCATGACTCGGCTATATTATCCACAGCATCCAAGATGTTGAACTTTTTCCAGAAGTCCCTAATTGTAGGTTTTCCTCCCCATCAATTGCTTTTATGAGCTGCAAAAAAGTTTTCCTAAGATAATATGCCTTAAAGTTAGCTATCACACCTTGATCCATTGGCTGGAGCAAGGAAGTTGTGTTCTTGGGGATGTACTCCACTCTCACATTATCAGAAAGATCATTTAAATTTACTGGGTGGCTTGGTGCATTGTCTAAGAGGAGCAATGCTTTATTAGATATGTTACGCCTGGCATTATATCTTTCTACAGCAGGGCAAAAATAGTCAGTGAGCCAGTCTTGGAAAAGGGTCATAGTCATCCAAGCCTTCTTATTGGAATGCCAAATCACAGGTAGATTGACTTGGCATAGCCCTTGAGAGCCCTTGGATTTTTTGAGTGATACACAAGTAGGGGCTTTAATTTCATGTCACCTGAAGCATTTCCTCCCAGAAGAAGTGTTAAACGATCTTTGGATGCTTTAAAGCCTGGTGCTGATTTTTCTTCAGTGGAAATAAAAGTTCTAGCAGGCATGCGCTTCCAGAAAAGCCCAGTTTCATCTACATTGTACACTTGTCCTGGTGTGTAACCTCCTTCATCAATAATTTTCTTCAGCTCAGCAGGATATTTATTAGCTGAATCTGTATCAGCACTGGCAGCTTCACCGCTCATTTTTATGTTGTGTAAATTAAGGCGCTTCTTAAACCTTTCAAACCAGCCTTTACTAGCCAGAAAAGGTTTAACTTCAGAAGATGCACCTTCCTCTTCCTGCAAATCATTATATTAACTTATGGCTTTCTGTTGAATAACCATTGTGTTTAGTGGCACATTGCGTTTAGTCTGATCTTCAATCCAGACACTCAGGAGTCGTTCCATATTCAGCATCACATCACTTCGATGAAAATACAAGGTTCGAGCAGTTAATGGAGTAGCAGCTTGAGCACTTGACCTAATTTTGTCCTTATTATCACGGATTGTTCCCACTGTTGAAGTAGCAAGACCTAATGTTTTTTGCAATCTGGCTAAGTTTTTCTCCAGCATCAAACCTTCTTAAAACGTCAAGTTTAATATTCAATGTAATGCCTTTGCGGCTTCTTTTTGCACTACTGCAGTCACTTCCACTTGATGGCCTCTTTCCAGTCATCTTGAATAATGGTAATGCACTGTACTGTACTTACTGTATGTTTGTAAAAGTTAAATCAAACTGCTGGGGCTTGAAAAATGCGCCCACACTGGATGTAAACAATGGACTGACTCCTCGTGGCAACGCTACGCTTGGCGGTAGCAAACACCAAGAAATCCACACCTAACAAATTATCATTTTTAACGAAAAATTTGAATTTTATATAGTGATTTTTTTTTTTTTTTTAATTGTTAAAATTTACCCCAATTTCCGTAAGGGCGGATTTACGGGCCATAAAGCGAAATTAATGGTCGTAATTTACAAATTCCGTAAGAGCGAAATTCCGTAACCCGGGCTTCCGTAACGCGGGGGATGCCTGTATAAAGCCCTTCCCAGTTACTTGAAGTCTTGAATATGTTGTACTGTATACCTGTTTCTAACTTAAGTCGTAAGTTATTTTTGGAGTAAGAATCATTATTAAGTCAGAAACCCTCAGGTACATTAGTGATAGTTTACTCTACCACTACTGTACTGGACCACTATATAATCTCATTTCTCAGACAGATGCCAAATAGGACACAGTGTTGTAATCTTCCAGATTATTGTACAGTAATCGGTCTGTTTGGCTTAATCTTTCCATTATATTTTAACTTTACATCTGTAATGAACTAATATATTTTCTCTCTTGTGTGCTGCAATGCTTGGGAATGTTATTGGTAAGTTACACCAAGATGTGTCTACATTTGAAATGTTAAATTTGCATTTTTTTTATTTATTTATTTATTTTTATTTATTTATTTAATTTTTTTTTATTTTTTTTTATGTTTACGTGTAGCAAGATGCTTAGAACCTATAGTGCATCTGAAACATGTCATGAGATGTATTGTAATGAATATATCATTCTCAGGTCTCAACGATTTTCCTTCATATCGCCATGGCCTCAACATAGATGTTGGCGATGATAACGTGTTTATGGTAAGTGATGTACGTGTATTATTGTGTGTCTTCTTAAGATCTTTATTTTTTCAGTATTTAATTTCCTTTATTATTACTGTTAAAATAATTTTATAATTAATAAAGTGATTATTATTATGGATCTCCTCTATCAAGCTGTTCATTTAAGTTTAATGTTATGATTTAATTATATTATTTTTGTCCTTTCTTAAGTTCCTGTTTTCCTCTTTGTTTCACTACGACAATTGTGTTGTGTAGATTAGATTTATTAGCTGATAATTATGAGCTGACATAGTTATTAATAAACAACCTTGACAGTGATGGTGATTTGCAGACGGTGAATCTTCCGGTGGAGATAGACACACGGTCGTCGTCAGGGTCGGTCAACACCTGCAGCAGCAGCCGTCACACACCCACCGCAACTCCCCTGCCCACCCCAGACCATCCCCCTCATCACCACGTCCACCATCCTCACCACGTCCACCATTTCCCATTACCCGGGGGTGGCATGGGGGGGCTCGGATCAGCGGGAGGAACTGGCATATCCACTACAAACACCTCTCCCTCTTCCACCACTTCTAACCTGGCCACATCTACGGCAGGGTCTACCACTCAGCCGTACCCCCACCCCCACCCACACGCCAACCACCACCACCAGCAACACCTGTGTCGCATCACATTTCCACCCCGGCCCAAACCTCCACTGCCCCATAACAATAACCCCCCCGACAAGCCATTAGATCTGGATTGTGAACTCAAGCCTGGCAACCCCCCAGACATGCCCCAAGACCAAGATAAAATTGGAATTCCTGGAGACAACTACTCCTATGTCCAGTTTGATCCAGATTACAGCTACCCGGTGGTTGAAGGCATAAAGGGGGAGAAAAGAGACAGTATAGCATCTCTCAAGAAGCAGCAGCAGTTTGAACATGTCAGGGGAACTCATCCACAGCAAATGCCAGCTCCCTTAGTACCTAGTAAGAGACAAAAGAAAAAAGACAAGAGGGTCAGAAAGACCATAAAAGCCCGCTGCCGGCACTGCCAGGAGATGTTTACCTATGACATGAATTCACGCGGCAGTTGTGAATATGCCCCAGACTGTGTGCGCACAGCCATTGACTCACTGACATGCATCTCTTGTGCACAGTGTATGTTATACCACTGCATGAGTGATGCTGAAGGGGACTTTGCACACCATCCATGTGAATGTGGGGGTCCTGGAGGCACGGCAGATGAGTCGTGCGGGCGGCGGTGGCTCGGAGTAACTCTGTTATCCCTATTGGTGCCGTGCCTGTGGTGCTACTTACCACTACGAGCATGTCACCGATGTGCCGTCGCCTGCGGACTTTGTGGTGGCCGTCACGAGGCCTCCTGACTCACCGCCCCCACTCATGCCCAAGAGGATGAAGATGATGATGAGGATGATGATGATGAGGAAGAAGATACTGTATTCACAGTAACAGGCAGCCCTACACTGCCCTCTCCACAACCTTGGTGTGATCAGGGGAGCAGTTCCCAACAGTCTGGTGTGGTCTTGGGCATGTATGTGGATGGTTGAACCAAACCAGATGATTTCTGGTTCAAATCTTGTAGCCAGTGAGGCGTTGTGACAGGGACGACAATGATGGTAGTGTGAACTGAAGAATGTGAGGGTGCTACTTATTAGCACAAATTTGTTTGTCAAACAGCCTACTGGAAAGAAAAGAAAGAATGTAACTGTGTGATATAAGGAGTGTGAATGTTACCACTTTTGATTAAGTGGCAAGAAAGGACACAACAGTTTGAGTGTTCTATGTACCTGATGGCCACACTTCGGCCTCAGAGAGTGTGTGTGCACGTGTGCATCCATGTGCATAGTACACACACTGCCGTACATGGCCAGTTCTCAACTCTTGCATTTGGAAACCCTTGTTCATCTATATGTGAGCTGCTGTATTGACGGTAAGTCTGTCCGCCTTGGCCTCTTTAATAATCTAAAGGGATCCCAATTTTTCAAGGGCTCAGGAGAAATTGTGACGCCCTTTGGAATTGCTGTGACTTTTTGTATGCTTTTAATTATTATTGTGATAGATGTTCTATATATTGATAGCTTTAGCTGGCCAAGACGGACAGGTGGCCAAGGCAGCTGGACTGTCACGTGTCACATAATAACTACGTGAAGTTCTCACTTGCGTTTGCCTTACATGCCAACACTTTGTGTTTAGTCTTTTGGCGATGATTAGCGCCGTTGTCACCACGTTGTGTATGCCGGACAACTTTATCAAGGGTTTCCTTGTCATTTTAGGTGCTATAGCACAAATCATGGATTTTCCTTTTTTTAAGTGAATAATTATTAAAAAACAAGGTTATTCAGTTGTGTTGCATTCAAAAGAACCGTTTTCTACACAACTTTGTATATAAACATGTGTAAGGCAGTTGCACTGTGAAACATAAAATACAAGGTGAAGTTTGGCTTCTTAAAAATCAAACTAAGGTAATGATGTCACTACATAATGTAGTAGTCCAATGATAAAAGACTAAACCTCCAAATTTCATTCATGTAAGGAACACAGGTGGCATATGAATTAATGCCCCGTGAAAAATCTTGTAACTACCATTGTCACAATTATCATGTATATTGATAATTCACTCATGTATGATTACCAAGAAGAGGCCAATTTTGTGTACAACCTAGATGGTGGCCCAACCAGCTCATGGTCACGCCCAAGATGACTGCAGGCCTCTCAGGTGTTCACTTCTCAGCCAGCGGCTCTGAAGGGAGTATGGCACTGTCTGCTTTCTTCTGTGGGGCTGCGGCCTGGGTTAAAATAGATGTTTTGGTAGCGGTGATTTGGGAGCAGCTAGGTCATCACCTTGATGGGGTTTGGGTCAACCTGAGGCTCCAGATATATAAGATTAACTAATTCTGTGGTAAAGAGGTGACCCAGACCAGTGTGACCCTGTGAATTGACCTAGTACATGTCAGCTCCCCGATCCTTGCGTTCATGCCACCCCTAGTCAAGTCACGAACAAAATTGCAACTAATGTCAGCAGTCTATCGTTTGTTTTCTTTGCAACAATTTTAAGCAAAAAGTCACAAAAGCTGTAGTTTCATTTTACCTTTATTGAAAATGTTACTCATCTTTAGAAAGTATACCACAGGTTTTCTGAATTCTCACTGTTTGTTTCAAGTGATTGTTCCAGTGACCTAATAATTTACCTTATGTGAATACTGTCTACATCATTGTCAAGTATAGGATGTAACAAAAAGATTTTATGAACAATAATGACAACCAAAGACATATCCTTTAACTTTAGTGTTTTATCCCTTATCTTTTATGGTCCCTTATTCTATATTGAGAAAGTTGAAGCAATATGGCTCCTTATTGTATATTGAGAAAGTTGAAGCAATATGGCTCTTTATTGTATATTGAGAAAGTTGAAGCAATATGGCTCCTTATTGTATATTGAGAAAGCTGAAGCAATATGGCTCTTTATTGTATATTGAGAAAGTTGAAGCAATATGGCTCCTTATTGTATATTGAGAAAGCTGAAGCAATATAGCTCCTTGTTGTATATTGAAAATGTTGAAGCAATATGGCTCCTTATTGTATACTGTATTGAAAATGTTGAAACTATGGCTCCTTATTGTATATTGAAAAATTTGAAGCAGTATGGCTCCTTATTGTACAAGAGTGTACATTGAAAGTGAAAAAGCTATGGCTCCTTATTGTACATTGAAAGGGTTGGATTAATATGGCTCCTTATTGTATATTGAGAAGGAAGCAATACTCTTTTCATATTATGTTCTGGAATGTAAAAAAAAAAAAAATGTTTGGACATTACACTAAGGAGTACATGGTACAGTCTCAGGATGCAAGAATATTCTGTAATGTAAGAAGATCCAACTCCTAACTAAGAAAACTTTTGAGATCTAACAAAACTTACTGCACTTGTAAGATTCTTGAGAGAGAGACGCATCACATATATCACTTGGCTCTGGTGAACCATGGAAGCCTCAACCATTACCTTGGAAGAGTGGTGGCTCTTGTATCACATATATGTAGCATTTATATAAATGACCAATTTATACCAGTGGTTCTTAAACTCTTTTGGTACGACCCAAAATTAGATCGGTCAGGCATAATCACAACCCACAGTATAAAGTAAACACAATCATTAAGGAAATAATTTTGTTCTTTATTTTGGTAGTACAGTACGGTATATACAAGGAACAGTGCAATATAATACAATACAACTCAAACTAATAATATACAATGATATATAAATTATAAATAATATAACTAGAAGTAGTGAGAAAGATGTTTTTTTTTTACTGGGTCTTCAAAGTGAGCTATTGTGGCAGACAGGCTGCAGTTTAGATCATGCTCAGGCTGCAGCCTGTTTTGAAGATTTTTCTTTGTCAGTACTACTGTTGAAAATTCTGCCTCTCACAGGTAAGCAGTTGTGAATGGCAGGACCCAGAAAGTACTAAGAGACTGCTGCTTGAAACTATGACACAGTAATTCATCATGTTGTATTTCTAGCAGTTTTTCCTGCAGTCCAAGTGTGCTATACTGTAGTGTGGAAAAATCTTCCACATAATATCTTGATACAATATCTTCAGCAGGAATATAGTAGTGTTTAATTTCTTCTCTGCAATTGTTCAAGTGTTCCAAGTGCTCAGATGTCCTCAAATGATGTAGATGTATTTTCCTCAAATTCTTCCACCAGATGACTTAAGGATAGGAAAAACCCAGTCTTTCCTTGCACCAATTTATTTTTACAAAGCTTCAATTTGTCATTAAATGGGGACAGCTTATCAGTGAGTTCGATAAAAGTGTGGTCCTGATCTTGCATGAAAGCATTCAGGAAGTTAATTTCAATGAATAAGTTTACAAGGTAGGCCTCTTGAAGCAACCATTTCTGCTAGGAGAACCTTTCAGTCAAACCCAGTTTCTTCTCACTTCTTAGCTCTCAAGGCCATAACTCGTTTCAGACACACTTGACCTCTGGATAATACAGTAATTGGGTGTGTTCAGATCTGAAGTCTGAACACTTTCCTGAAACAGCCTCGAGTTAAGCGCTCTTGCTTTGATGAAGTTCAACACATGAATTGCTTCATTCATTACAATAGCTAACTCACCTGACAGGTTTTACAAAGCAAGGTTCTCATGATAAGAGTATGAACAATTGTCATGTTTTGATTTAGTTCCTTTACACTAGCAGCAGTGTCTTGTCTTACCCCAAGCATGGATGACACCCTGTCACTACAGTGGTCCCTCGGTTAACGAGCACCTCGGTTTAAGAGATTTCGGTTATCGAGTTACCTTCCATAAGATTCTTAACTTCGGTTAACGATCAATCCCTCGATTAACGAGTTTCTTACGAGCCGACCAGAACATGTTTTCGCTTGCATTTGGCGGTCCACCAGCTGTAGTATTAGTCTACCAATACAGTACACTGTAATTGGTTCTAGGGCTTAAATTCCTTACCATTTTAGCAAATATCAAGAAGTTTATACTATTCAATAATTTTAAAAGTTTGATATTAATTTTTTTTAGTCATTTTAACAATTATTGAACATAATTGAAGGTAATGAAACTAGTTTTATGCGCGCCATCCAGCCTCTCAACACACCATACAGGCGTCAGTCTTTGTGTCTTTTCAGTGGAGGTAACATCTTGCTTGAGACACACTTCAACTAAATGTTTTTTTCTGTTTGCAAGCAAGTTATTGGTCATTTTGAAATTTATTTTACATATTGACAATATATAATGCAGTGCAGTGTTGATTTAAAGAAAATAATCTTGAATTACACCAAGAGAACTAAAATTTTATGGGTGAAATGGCGCCATGGGGTGATTTCTCTTCCACCCCAATGCCTTCTCTTCTCCCTTCTCTTCCACCCCCATTCTAATTCCCATCATCATCATCATCATCATCCAGGAGCCTTCTACATGCACACCTCAAAGTAAGTGTACTTTTCTACCTTTTTTGTTGAATTTAGGCAATTTTCGGTGAGCTGGAACCAATTACCCAAAAACCCATTGAAACAATGGTTTCGGTTAACGAGTTTTTCGGTTAATGAGCAACCTTCTAGAACGGATTGTGCTCGTTAACCGCGGGACCACTGTACATATGTAACATTGAGTCCATGTCAGCTCTTCTTCTTTGAAGAAGTGATGCGCCATGCAAAGGTATCATGGCCTGTCGCATTTGTGACCAGCGGGCAGGAAAAAAAAGCTTCCGTATCCTTCTCTCTTCTACAACTGACATACTGTAGCCAATCAGGTGAGTTTCATCACAGACGTACATTGTTTCATTCAGTTAAAGCTTTTACTGCTGCAATAATTTATTCCTTGATATTGAGCGACATATCGCTGATGCGAGAGCGGATTGTAACATTTGACAAAGGCACAACATACTGTTTCTTAGCCACAGCAACTATATCAACAACAGCAGGTTTAATGAGGTCTTCTCCAAATGTATGGGATGCCATTTTCCTTGCAACTCACCAAGCCATGAAGTAGAAAGCCAAGGTAGTTAGTCAATCCATTTGAACAACTCAGCAACCAAAATTTTGTTTGCGAGAACCGCTGATTTATACAGTACCTGTACCATGGTTTTGCTTATCACTTGCAATAGCAGTTTGGTTATAACTATTAGTACCAATTTGGTTATCACTTTATATACAGGGCAATATCACTTTAACGGGCAATGTTTGGTGGATTAGTCATCCTGTGTACCGCCTGCAAGGCACGGGGCTCATAACACAGCCAAACTGTGGAATGCTCTGTCTTATGTGTTTCTATACTCGTACAACCTGGCTCTCTTCAAAAAGCTGGTTTTCCGGCATCTTCGTGGTGTTGATTAATATAGACTTTTTCTCTTCTATTTTTAATTTCTTTTTACTAAAAACTGGATACACCTGTATTAGCAGCCTACAAATTTTCCTACTTCTCTCTAAGTTACTTATCTCTTCATACCGGTATTCAGTATACTGTACTGTATACAAATGTGGCTACACATTACTGTACCTTTACTTCAAACAAGTGATGATACAGAAGGTCTCTGCCTCGACTACATCAGTGATATGTACAAAAAGTGATGAAGTTGGATGTTCTGTAATGGAGGGTGTGAAGATGGGTGGTAGAAGACAATATTTTGACAAATATTCCTCATACACACCCATTTTGGAAGGTAAACAGTGGAACATGTAATAAAAGTTAAATCTGAAACCTGAATGAAGCATCTAAATATAGAATGAAGGGAAAAAAGCATAAATGGAAGAAAGAAAAATGTTGATGGGGGTAAAGGTGAACATCACACTGCGTAATGTAATCTATTACCGTACTTTAGGAACATCCTCCTCATCAGTCATGGTTTCACTGCAGACCTTGGTCAGCTCTCTGCCTGACACCTCTTTCATTCCCACTTCTTCACATTCCTTTACAGATTTTCTTATTCTTTGTATCTTATTCACCCCACATTTTGTTCTTTATCACATCATGTTTATATTGTACTTTTACTTGTAATTTTATCCTCCTCATTAGCTGCTGGGGCGATCGGTCACATCTCTGTTACTCACTGTTGGCAAGTACTGGGCATGCACTGGCTCCTGAATGTATCTGTGCACTGTACAGTACCTATTTCTTTCCCTTGGCTATTATGTGATTCTCCATGTCTTTCTTCAACTCTTTATTCTTTTCTCTTTATTTTGCCTTTGTTTACATTCATATACTGCAAATTGAAAAAGTGAGAATGATAATCACTTAAATTAAAACTAAAACCATTAAGAGGAAATAATAGAATGAAAAGAAATACTTGATGTTGATTCAGTCTTGAATGTGTAGAAAGCAATTAGAGAAAGAAGACAATATTTTTGAATTGTGATGGATTAACATAACTTTTTCGTTCCTTAGCTTATCACAAATTATTTCATCCATTTATCTTTACGGTGTTGTTAAGTGTGTAATACCGAACACATCACATGAGAGGTTCAGACCAAATTGACCCAAGAATTTATTATTGTTGGCACTTTTTAATTTGTCTTAAATAAGTTTGATCAGTTTTTTTACACACAATGATATATATATATATATATATATATATATATATATATATATATATATATATATATATATATATATATATATATATATATATATATATATATATATATATATATATATATATATTTTTTTTTTTTCATTAGCTAATGAAATATACAGTGAAACCTCGATTAACCGACCACATATGGGGGGAAGGGGCCGACGGATAATCCGAAAGGTCGGTTAATAG